GAGATATTGGAGAAGAATTGTAAAATATATTAAGTCTAGGTCTAATTCAGTCTTTCCACCGGAATAAAACAAAAATCGGTACTTACGTATTAAACGGAGGCCACATATTTTACAGCGCGCTGCAGCGGTTATGTTAGGTTGGGTTATCATAAATATATGTTTTTTTATCAAATTAAACTATCTTAACCTAACCTAACCAACCAAACTTGCTGATGGTGAAGATTTACTAATCGAATCGAATCTGTAGGTTAGGTGGCCTCCGTTTAATACGTAAGTACCCAAAAATCCCACTCACCCAACCAAAAAAGTCGTGTTTCATCCAGTTTTATCCCCCTCTACATAAAATGTGCATTCTGGTTTATCTTATTCCACAACGTACTAAGATATGATGGTTTTATCCAAAAAGCTAAAAAAAATCAGGCGTCAGTCGGAAATTCGTTTTTATTGCACACCCTGTTTCAATTCCGTGCATGGTCTAAAACTTCTGTTTTTGTGATTTAATTCCCATACCCCTTTTTCATACGCAGGGCCCTCCTTTTTCATCACCAGCCTACTAATGATTTTTCGAACCATATACAGTCCTTGGGAAGTCTCAGCTGACATCAGCATCTTGAATGACTTGGAATGAACCAAGCAATTGTTTCTGACTGTGGAACATGTTAAATAATCATCTCCACACAGTATTTTCATGGTGTTCGTTTTTATGAACTGTTTTTAAATATGAAATACTTTTTATTTGGAAAACTTAATGGTATTGGTTGAATAATTTTTTCTGATTTTGAAAATTCATGGTCCATTTCAGAAATCCATGCATAATCCATGCCTTTTTTCATGGTCACAAGAATTCATGCATAATTCAAGCTTTTCAAGGTTTTCATGGCTGGTGGCAACCCTGCCATAGCACTTTAGGATTGTAGATAAATTAATCTAATCGTTATTAACAGTTCCCACACTCCGGAAAGCTCGTCTTTACTACGTCCTACACCATTTCCTACGTCATTGACCTGTTTCCCTCCCTTCCCATAGCATTTCAGAATTGCAGATACCTTAATCTAATCGTCATAAACAGTTCCCACACTACGGACAGCTCGCCTTGACTACTTCCTTCGCCACTTCCTACGTCGCGGACCTGTTTTCCTCCCTTCCCATAGCATTTTAGGATTATAGATACCTTAATCTAATCGTCATAAACAGTTCCCACACTCCGGACAGCTCGCCTTTGACTACATCCTTCACCACTTCCTACGTCGCGGACCCGTTTTCCTCCCTTCCCATAGCATTTTAGGACTGTAGAAACCTTAATCTAATCGTCATAAACAGTTCCCACACTCCGGACTACTCGCCTTGACTACTTCCTTCACCACTTCCTACGTCGCGGACCTGTTTTCCTCCCTTTCCATAGCATTTTTGGATTGCAAATACTTTAATCTAATCATCATAAACAGTTCCAACACTCCGGCTACTCGCCTTGACTACTTCCTTCACCACTTCCTACGTCGCGGACCTGTTTTCCTCCCTTTCCATAGCATTTTTGGATTGCAAATACCTTAATCCAATCATCATAAACAGTTCCCACGCTCCAGACAGCTCACCTTGACTACTTCCTTTACCACTTCCTTCGTCACGGACCTGTTTCCCTCCCTTCCCATAGCATTTTAGGATTGCCCATACCCTTATCTAATCGTCATAAACAGTTCCCACGCTCCGGACTACTCGCCTTGACTACTTCCTTCACCACTTCCTACGTCGCGGACCTGTTTTCCTCCCTTCCCATAGCATTTTAGGATTGTAGAAACCTTAATCTAGTCGTCATAAACAGTTCCCACACTCCGGACAGCTCGCCTTGACTACTTCCTCAACACCTTCCTACGTCGCGGACCTGTTTTCCTTCCTTCCCATAGCATTTTAGGATTGCTGATACCTTAATCTAATCGTCATAAACAGTTCCCACACTCCGGACTACTCGCCTTGACTACTTCCTTCACCACTTCCTACGTCGCGGACCTGTTTCCCTCCCTTCCCATAGCATTTTAGGATTGCAGATACCCTGATCTTATCGTCATAAACAGTCCCCACACTCCGGACTGGTCGCCTTTACTACTTCCTTCATCACTTCCTACGTCACGGACCTGTTTCCCTCCATTCCCATAGCATTTTAGGATTGCCCATACCCTTATCCAATCATCATGAACAGTTCCCACACTCCGGACAGCTCGCCTTGACTACTTCCTTAACACCTTCCTTCGTCACGGACCTGTTTCTCTCCCTTCCCATAGCATTTTAGGATTGCCCATACCCTTATCTAATCGTCATGAACAGTTCCCACGCTCCGGACTACTCGCCTTGACTATTTCCTTCACCACTTCCTACGTCACGGACCTGTTTCCCTCCCTTCCCATAGCATTTTTGGATTGCCCATACCCTTATCTAATCGTCATAAACAGATCCCAGACTTCTCACTGCTACCCTTGACTACAATCATAGACAATGTATCGAGTAATCTTCAGTATAATCTTTGCTAAATGGTGTTTTTCCTTTTGTACTGTATTTGTAATTTGCTAGTATACTGTGGGTAGTTGGCTTATTATGAACACACGCTACAACTTCAAGTCTTTTGTTTACTTTTTCCTTGTTATTTAATTCAGCCAACAAGGTTACCTAGCAACCCATAAGACTAATGTTAAAAAAATGTGATTTTCAGTTTCATTTTTCTACGTAATTAGATTTTTGTTGGCTGTTCTAACTGCAGTAAACTCGTTTTTAGGCCAGAATTAAACTATTTACAACATTTGAAGAAAATCGTCGGAACCGTTTTCGAGATCTTTGTGCAAGCAAGCATACATACATACATACATACAAGCAAACATTGCTCGTATTAGAGTATAGGATATAACTTTAGACATTATCTATACAGGGTGTATATAAAGTCCCGCACGAGCTTAATATTTTCTAAGCGACAACAGATAAATCAATAAGATTTGGTACATCAACACCACACAAAAAAAATCTACTTTTTCAAGGAACTATGAATTTTCTGTCATATCATGGGGACGTCCCGCAAGGAGTCGGAAGAAAATCTTAAATGGAAGCATAGGTCAATATGCACATCAAATGAAAGGTCTTTTTTAGTAGAATACAATGCCGCAAATCGCACTTCAAAAGGTTGATCCTACGCAAAATGGCAGCTGTTCAAAGATTTCTTGAATCTGCCATTTTGAATCTTTGAACGACTGCCATTTTTTACTCAGGCGTTCTTTTGAGCTTGAATTTACGGCATTGTAATCTACTAGTGAAGACCTTTAATTTGATGTGCGTATCGACCTATGCTTACGTTAACAATTTTCTTCCGATTCCTAGGGCTGTGCCCCCTGAGGAGTAAGCGTATAATAGGAATGCTAATTAAATGAATATTTGAACAACTGTCATTCTTGGCTCGGTTGTCCGTTTGAGTTCAAATTTGCGGCATTATATTCTGCTAGTAAAGACCTTTAAACTGATGTGCATATTGACCTATGCTCCTATTTAAGATTTCCTTCTGACTCCTCGTCCCCATGATACGACAGAAAATTCATAGTTCCTTGAAAAAGTAGATTTTTAGGTGTGGTGTTGATGTACCAAATCTTATTAGTTTATCTGTTGTCGTTTAGAAAATATTAATTAAGCCCGTGCGGGACTTTATATACACCCTGTATATATCAAATCCAATGTATGTTTGTTTGTTTGTTTGTCCTTTATGGACTCCGAAACCACTCGACAGATTGTAATGAAACTTTCAGGCATTATTAAGCATTATTCAAGGATGGTTTGTGTGAAGTTTGGTGCAGATCTGTCAAAAGGGCTCCACCCCAGTGGCTCTGGAGTTTCACATGTTAATCTTATGAGTACTCATATTTAAATGGAATTGAAGAATCTTAACAGCTGGTTCAACTAAACAGTTTGATTATGTGATGTTCAATAGCATTAAAATGTTAATAGGTTTACCAACAGGGTGCAGAACAATTTTTTTTATATTTATGACAATAGCTAATTTGCAACCAAAAGGTGAGTGAGCGTAGCGAACAGACTTCAACCTGGAGGCGAGTTACCGTAGCGAACGAGCTAACCTGAAAGCAAGTGAGCGCAGCGAACAAGCTCCAACCCAAAGGTGAGTCAGCGTAATTATAGGTGAGGATTGAGTTTTTTCTTGACCAGTAAGAAATTTCATTGTGGAAGCGTGTATATAAATTTAGTTAGTTGAATAAAGTTTAGTAGTTTAGTTTAAAGTTTACAATTTGTTTCTTGTTCCCGTAGTCGAATTTTCTTTCAGAGTGGAAAGTGCAGACATAGGCTAGGGAGTTCAAAAATGGCCATGAAAATGCTCATTTCGTAAGGGAATTGTGTGTTTGGTGGGTACCCAGACTTCTCAAAGAAGACCACTACGAAAAAAGGATTTCACAGCAATTTGAATTTTCACACCCATTTCCGTGCTTTACCCTCACTCATTGTATTAGGGACATCACCTTCAGTCATTTGGCGATGAACGTCAGCATCGGATATGTTTATTGTAATCAAAAAACTTATCACTGACCTTAACTTAGACGCGGCGGGAGATTTGATTGTTTACAAAAATTTCAAACACACAGCAAAGCGTATATGACAGCTACAGAGCTGAAATTTGTGTCATTTTGTTCACAAATGATGCCAGTAAATAGTGATGATTCTTGTTGCAGCGTACAAGCGAACTACAGATTTATACGCGAAACTGGCCCTTAGTAAAAAAACCGCCCTCGTAGTTACAATAATTCAATTGATTATGTCCAGCAGTTCATTGAGTCAACAGATTTGCACGACATGTGTTGGATTGTGGCAGTTAAGGATTGAGCATTTACAAACCATGAGTTGGAGATCAGAACAGACCATTTTAGTAAAAAATGCCTGAGTTTACAAAACATTTAGTTTTGGACTTAATGAAGCAAGGACACAACACTTAAATTGCATTTTGGAAACATGAAACACATTGCTACAGGATTATAAAATCATTATATTGAGGATAGGTTTTTTTTGATTAAATTATTTATCTTATCATACCTACAAGGGATTAATCACTGGTTTCGTTTAATCTAGTTAGTATTATAGATCTTATGTTTATAAAAATTCAATTTTATATAGGAGTAATTAATTCCCCTGGAATCACTAATTTGTCTCTGTTTGATGTTGTACTGACCACTCACAATATTAAGTTATTTTTATGAACCATATGTTTATAACAATTTACAATTTTTCATGTTGTCCATGCTAAAAACTGAAACAGACGATTGTACAAAGACTAGATCTATACCAACTTCACTTATAACGATGAGCTCTTGTATATCCTGACAATACAAAACTCTCCTGAGTCTTAACTCCAAACACTTAAGCAAACTTAATGTAATGATCCAGCATTTTACAAAATATCATTTTAGTCTAAAAATCACCGGGTTATTTTATTTACCCATCACACTGTATCATAAACTCTTCATTCCATTTCAATCATAATATCACTAGTAACCCCTTTTTATCATGTAAAAATACTGAAAAACACTGTTCTTCACTCATCAAAACCATTTAGCGCCCCAGAATTGGTCTTGTCCCAAAGCACTGTTGTTCCTAGCGCCCGGGCTTGTACAACGCTCACTGATTGTTCTGCTTGTTGGACCTCAGTCTCGCAAGACCAGATCGTTCTTCCTCCTCATCACTAGTGTAAGAAGACATTCCAGCGACAGCGCCCCTGGTGGATGTCGCTTGCATTAGCTCCTGATCTGGGGCATTGCGGTTCTCGTACAGCAAAATGTTCAGGGTCTCCTCATATATCCGAGCCTCAGGAAACTCAACCTGAAATAAAAAAATCCTAAAACATTGTATCTGGCTTCATAGCCAGTGAGTATAAAAAATGGTCAGGTAAAACTAACCCTTAAAGGGTCTAATACATCTAATACATTTTTTTCACCGACTGCGCCCCGTGAAATATGGCTAGTCGTACTTGTAGGGCTTTATTAAAACATTTATCTTAGTTGCTCGACATCTTGCTTTATTCTGAGCTAGAGGCATCGGCCCAATGCATGGAGTACAATACATAAAATACTCGATACTTACAAGTCAGTAAATCTTATATACTGTATTTATTAATAGAAAATCAGAAATACATGATCAGTGTTGTTTCAATTGCTCGTTCTAACTATTCAGAAGTTACAAAAATAATAGGATATTTTCAGTAATCTATTACCAAGGTGATTCTTCAGTAATACTATTATTTGTCCTCCTACGTTAAATAACGCCCACCTCTAGCTATAAGCAGATAATACCAAGGTTTCAAAAGATATTTTAAAGAATTTGATACAATAAATTTATATTAAGCAATAAAAGGTTTAAATTACCTGTATCCGTCAAGTGATCCTGGTTTGTAGTTGGTTGACTACAACTGTTTCATGTTAATATTAACACATCTTCAGGTCAAAATGTTGCATTGATTTATTCCATAGAATGGTCGTCATAAGGTTTAAAGTTCACAAAAAAATAACACATACACGTACACAAAGCATTTAACACTGATTGGCCAAAACACAAAACATGATGTACCGATTTGCGTGTTTTTATACAGATAATCAGCTGTTTGGAACAATAAGCAAGCACCCAGTGGGGGTAAATTGGGCAGCCATGGGTTAGTTCTAGTCTCGCAGTCGTTCTTGTTTCCTTCTACCCTTCCGACGCGTATTAGCTGAGCTATCAAAAATCGATCGTGCAAATTAAATTCAATCCGCGGTGTTTGTCCGGACAAAATTATTTCCATCAATCGTTAAGCCTATATCCCGCAGGGATATATTTGCCGCGCGTGGTGTAAATAAAATCAGTTTTTGAACAAGAAAGTGTTAACGTAACTTTACCGGCAAACACAGACCGCCATTGAAAATTCACGTTCGTTTGACCAAATCGTTCAAACAGTGCCAGGGACGTCCCATAAGGACTTCTGGGGATTATTTTATTCTACAGGGCCCACTCAAATATTATTTTAACATTAAGTTTCCACTGCCAACGCTCTGTTGTTTATATTATTCTCAGTTCTTCAAGCCCATGGGCAACCAAAATTTGTAAAGATTAAATTGTTAGAGAGTTATTGAGGTGATAACAAGGAGAGTGAAAAATATATTTAAATAATATTTAAATATATAAAAATAGAAGTCAAAGGTTTTTTCTTGACAAATAAACATATTTAAATATTTATATTTGAATGTGTTTATTGTTGAGTTTTTTATTTTTCTTTACAGTGAAGTTTTCATTGTATTGCCGATGATACTTTGATCTTGTTTGATGGCAATGAGAGACAGTTAAAACTATTTGGCACATTCTTAAACAGTATCCACCCCAACATAAGCTTCACTCAGAACCGAAAACAACAATTCAATAAATTTCTTACTATCACAAAGAACGAAAATAGTTTGCAATTTAAGATATACCGGAAACCAACCACGACTGATCAGACAATACACATATCTTCACACCATCCATACAGCCACAAGATTGCTGCTTATAATAGTTTCATCCACCGCCTATTGTCCATTCCTCTCTGCAATACTGACTACGAAAATGAGGTTTGCATATTAAAGTACATTGCTGTTTCCAACGGTTACAAACCTTCCATAATCGACAAACTCATTAACAAACACACCAACACAACCAGACCGAGTTTGGGTGGGAATAATAAAAAATACGTCAGTGCTGAGTATGGCGTTGCTCTTAATAACACCTTAAGAAGCGAAATGACAAAAAGCAACATTGTTGTGGCATTCAAGAAGTAAAATAAACTTGATTCGATGCTCAAATTAAGAAAGAAACAAGAAAGGGTATACAACAAGTTCAATAAAACCGGAGTCTATAAATTGTCTTGCAACGACTGCCCAAGCTTCTACATCGGCCAGACGACACGATTATTCACCACCCGTTTAAAGAACACCTGCCTAAAATATCCTCCAAGTCAGCATTTTCCAACCATTTAATTAATTCCAACCACAATTATACAGATATAAACAATAATCTCAACGTTCTTTATTCATGCAACAAAGGAAAATACATGGACACATTAGAAGAATTCGAAATATACCGTGCTTCAAAAACAAAAACAGCCTGAAAAAATCTTAAATGAAAAACTCTCGTTCGAGTCGAATATTATTTACAGTGCCGCCATACGCATCTTAGACCACAATAGATAACAGCTGATAGTGGGTGGGGGGCTATCACTTCCGGCACACGGCAGTCATGACCTTCCTTCTACCGGCGCCGTACGTGTCCGATGTTTATTACGCGTTTTTTTGTTTTGTGTTTTGGCCAATCAGTGTTAAATGTTTCGTGTACGTGTTTGTGTTATTTAGTGAACTTTAAACCTTATGACGACCATTCTATGGAATAAATCAATGCAACATTTTGATCTGAAGATGTGTTAATATTAACATGAAACAGCTGTAGTCAACCAACTACAAACCATGGTTACTTGACAGATACAGATAATTTTAACCTTTTATTGTAAAAATCAGTGATCCAGAGGATATACCATAAAAATGAAATTTATATTAAGAGCCATCTCTGACAGTCAACTTTTACCACGGGCAGCGTCGTTTCCATCGTGCATGGTTTTTGTTATTTGTGTGTATGTTTTTGTGTTTTAGTGTGTTATAGGCTATGACTAAGTGTTGTGCAATATTGAATGTTATATTGTGGCTAATTTTTCACGGATTGATGACATTCTCACAGAAGGTGAACTAGGAGATACGGACAACAACCGTTTACAACACAAACCAAGGATTACTTTAGTGTCACGTGCGTTGGTTCTACATGGCAGCCAGACGATGCGGCGCATGACGAGTATTCCTGTTACGAATGATGACATAATATATCAAGTCAAAAAGAAACAACCTTTGGGAAATAATTTGAGTTTTAATATCTTAGCCGTACGAGTGATATAGCCAATTTCGGTGCCACATTGAACATGTTAATAGGCTTGCCAGCTATTAGGTTGATTGGCATTATCATTATGCGTGGTTGTGCAGTTTTCACATAAAAGCATCCATGTGATCTACGACAATGATGTCTTATGAGAAACAAGCTAGCACACTAGCAAATAGTGTTTACTTGAAATTTGTGACATTGTTTGAATAGTAGGACTTATTTAATCCTATTTAGGACCTATTTAATAGTAGGACCTATCTAAATGGAATCACTTACTTTGGTGTGCTTCTTATCAGTGGCATAAACAATTGACGTACAACAAACTTCAGCAACCTTTTTACCATGTCCATAAAAACTCCAGCAGCAAATCTCACTGGATCCAATGACGTCTTTGATGAACAGAACCCGGCCACTAAACCGCAATGACAACTTGTCAAAAAGCTCTATATTCTTGAGCAAATTGTCATCAGATGTGCTGTAAAAAATGTTACTGTACAATGTTACATTAAACAAAATATTTACTGAGGGTTTAATGACCTAAATATCTCTAAAATCCAAAGTTGTGAGGAAAACATATCCAATAAAATCTGAATATATTGATTCTTAAAAGACACAAGGAATTTGTTATTTCAGTTATTAAAATAACGAGGATCAAATTTTCAATATAAATCTTGAAATCCAAGTTATCACCACATGTGCATTTTCATCAATTATGTTTACTGGAATGAGTCTTTAACACTTGGATTCTCTTTACAATGTAATCAAATTTTATCATTACAATAGCGATTGGTGGCAGCAATATTGGAATAAGCATTGTTGCAAAAGCTTTACGTTTTTTGTTCTTTAATGCTGATTGGTAACAAGGATATAGCAATGATGGTATCACAAGGCAAAAACCTATTAATAAAATGTTAGGATTAAAAATTATAAATAAATAATAAATTAATACAATGTTAAGGACCTCAACAAAATTATGAGAAAGCATCTGAAAAGGAGCAGAAGTACAAGGCTTGCAAGACGAAGGGCGTACGTACATAGGCTTATCATCATCTGTACTTACGCTGGTGTATATTTTATATGGTGTATTATTATGTAATTGATCATGGTAGTAGGTATGTAGACCCAAGAGCGAGAAACGGAGGTCTTCCGGTCTGATATGTGATCATGGCTAAATGTTCATCAATGTGCTTGTGCTGTTAAAATTAATAAATGGTGTGTTAGCAAAACTTGTGTTTGATTGATACCAGACTGCAACGTACGCCCCTTCGTCTTGCATTCGTCAAAATGTATAGTGATATGGTGTGTTTTATTGAGGAATAATATAACAAAGTTCAGGATCATTACAGTTTTAGCTATTTGGCAACATTAATAAAAACACTGGAAATTTTTGTAAATTTACCAAGACAACATATAAACTTTAAATTACCTATCAGATATACTAACAATGTGTATGGAATATATATTTTACATAAGCTAATCTATTTATAAAAACAAACTAATTTGGAGATTTGGGGATTGTAGACTTCAGTATCCAATAGTCTATGCTATTATCTAAACAATATTTCCACTTGATCAGACATGAAATCATATGAACTATAAACTTATTGCTTATCCTATAATCCTATAATTAAGATATCACATTACCTTGTATATGAATATTTGTTGTTGTGCCTGTTGATAAGTAGTTTGACTACGGGCTGAAAAAAACATTCAATGTTAAAAAGCCATTTCAAAACAATTTCTCATAAATGTGTCTTGTTTTTACTCTTTTCTGTTTGCAATAATGTAGTACCTGGAGACTGAGCTATGTGTGGGGTAAAACCATTAGTTATAAGAGTACAGTAGAACCATTGTACAGGGTAATAAGAGGTTGGGAGACCACGGGTAACTGAAAACCAGTTAATCCAAAACTTATAAGGGCATAGGGCCTATACATACAAACCCATAAAACTGCATATAAATGGGCATTAATGTCATAATTAATTTGCCTTTTACATCATAAAAATATAATCTATAATTATTTAATACACAAGCAGGTTTTTTGTGACATTTACTCCTCCGAAACTACTGAACCGATTGACATGTTTTTGGTGTCATTGGAAAGAGCGCAACGTGAAGTTGTGCAGGAAACTTTCTTTTAGGGAAATAATTAGGGAGTGAAGTCCTGGGGCCCTTTAAAGTTTCGTATTTCTCCATAAGATTAAGATGGGAAACAAACATTGTTATGAAACTTCAGCTGTTGTCAGAAATTAAAAGTGAGAAGAAGAACATATATTAATTGTAAACAGTCAATAAGTTTGCTAATTCAACAGTTTGTTACAAACATTTACTGACATGGTTGAAATGAAATATTTACTATTTGAATTTGGGTTGGCGTAAATATTACAATGGAAAAAAGCAAGAGAGCCTGGATAAATTGATACACTAAAAAGAAAACTGAATTAACACTGGGCTGCATTTCTTTGTTATCACTGAAGGAGCCGATTTGCAAACTATGGAAAAAAAGGAACGTCATAGAACACCACCAAAGAGAAGAAATTTGTATAATGTTTTTTTTATTATTTATAATCGTTATTATGGACAACATAATGCGGCTATGAGTTGTGGATAATTATAGGGATGCACTGTGGATGCGATGCTACCTGGTGTGGATTAACATCCGCACTAGTGAGTACTACGCCTATCCGCAGTACTATCCTAATAATTAGACGAATTCGTTAATTACAAGGAAAAAATGTGGTTCGGATTCCACAATAAACTGTAGGTCCCTTAGTTGCCATTAGCTGTATGGGCTATATTAATTAACAGCTGTGTCTAAGAATTTTTACAGAACTACAATTTAGAAAATTGTATTTTTATTTTAAGTGTTTAATTTTAAGTTAAGTTTTAATGTTAAATATTTTATGTATGGATTTAATTTTTTAGGTGAGTCGGTGGCTCAGTCGGTAGCGTCGCGGAATTCGGGCCCAAGGCAGTAGTGTCGTAGGTTCGGATCCTGGTCACTTCCACTAACTTTTATCAGTACAGTTCACCTTTGTACTGTACCGGCTCACCCCTTGCTTTGCTGGATATGTTCCACACACAGATCTGTAGTCTATGTACAGATCTGTAGTCTATGTGGACAGGCAAATGCAAGGTTAAAAGAGGCCACCAACCTCTTTAAAAAAATAAAAAAAAACTTTTGACCATGCACCTATTCTAAATGTTATGACATGTATGGAATGTTTTGAGCAAATAAAGTATGTCTACGTCTATGTCTACGTCCTAAGTCCATTGGTTTTTAACAGGAGTGAAAATATAAAATCTAGTAAAACTGATTTTAAAAACTAGTATTTTACACCCTGGAAATAAATAACTCGGTTTACCTTATATCTATTGAAATATAAGACTTACAATGTGTATTGAAGTGTCACACGAGCTAACTATTACTTCCAACCAATGAACTATTACGAACTCGGTACTCTAGCACGGTAAGAGCCCTTGCGTGATCGCTATCGTAGCTGGTGAGGAACTCTCCTATCTCGTGGCTGGTGAGGAACTAACTTTCCTAGTTGCCGTCTGAGGGTTCCTCGGCTCATCCCTCTCGCTGCCCTCTCTAGCAAAGTAGGGGGCTCAGCTGATCCGGAACGTCTGCTGTTTGCTAACCCGAAAAAAGCTAGCCGGCCGCCGTTGTCTGCAGCCGCTAAATAGTCATACACTCGAGCTTCTTGTTGTTGTGTTGACTGTAGGTTATATTGTGTTTGTTTCACACGACAATGAGTTTTAACTTTAAGTTGTCGGTTTATATTATTCACTCCGCATTTCCTCACGTCTTTGAGACGGATTATTAGCCTAAGGTTTACTAAGTGTAGAAAGTTTCTTCGAAGTACCAAGCCGGGTTGAGCACTAGCTTGCGAAACACATAGCTGGTGAGTCAATAAGCTATAAAACACTGTATAAGGTTTATATCACGCTCATACAGTATTAATAACTCTCGTTCTACACTTAATTATTACCAAACACAACAGTGTATCATGCCTATACCTTACTGATGATGTTATAACTAAGGTTAGCCTTCTAACCTATAACCTTGGTTAGGACTGGTAGGCTATGCCTAGGGATAGGCTAGACCAACAAATAGGCCAGTTTGACCCCCCCCCCTCAAAATAGGCACGTTACAAAGACACAGAGATAGTTTTAAATTTGAAAGATGATAAAGTGTTTTGGGGGAAACCTTACCCAGTACCTTTTAGTAAACGCAAAGCTGTGGAAGCTGAATTGAGTAGAATGAAAAAAATAGGTGTCATAGAAGAGTCAAATAGTCCATATTCAAATCCTTTGGTTTGTGTAGTTAAAAACGATTTAAGTGTTAGGTTATGTATTGATGCCAGAAATTTGAATAAGAATTTAGTTAATGATTGTCAAAGGACTGAGAGAATAGATGACATATTACAAAAGTTTACTGGAGTAAAGTATTTTACCTACGACCGTTTTTTAAAGTAGCCATTTCAGTCCAGTTCTTAGAATTGAAAAGTTTCACTTAACAGCTGTTTACTTTCATAACAGTATAGTTTCATTTCATAACAGCATAGTTTTTCTCATAACAACACGGGTAACGGACCAATGAGGTTCAAGGATTTGGGAGAAAAGAAGTAAAATTGTAATGTTTCAAACGTCAATTAATCAATTGATCAGCTGATCAGTTGACAATTTTAATAGTTGATCCGACTTGTTCCTGTTGATACTCGGGTATTCTTACCTAAGTTGGTGGAAGTTAAAGGAAGGTAGATTAAACTAATTTTAAAATGTCAGTTAGTGAAAGTGAAGTTGACGAGATGGAAATGAGAGCACAAACTGTTTCTGCTAATCTTTTGCCACCAAAATCGAAACAAAGGTATTAAATTACATACTAGCAATTCATTAAATAGACAAAACAAAATAAGGTTAAATTGATAAATGAAAATGTGCTTCTGGTTTATTTTGAAAACCTCTTAACCACTTTTTCACCCAACTCGTTGTGGACTACATATTCGATGCTGAAATATAACTATGTATGTAAATTAACTGTTTCACTATATTATTTAGTTGTCCAAAAATATGCAATATTTCCCTAATTGTACCTGATTTTATGGTAAGAATGCTGCTAGCAGAACCTATTCCCTGAAAAAAGTAACATATTATTTAACGAAGATTTACAAACATGTAATTACATGAAATCAGCTGATTTTACAATAAGTCGTTGTGTAAATTGGTTTGTTTGGACCGTTGGAAGCAAAATAAATAATCACTTTCAGTGGCAATGACAATAAACGAAAACATAACCTCTCTAAGAAGTTATGAGTAGTGATTGTTAGTAATTAAAAAACGGCCGTAGTTAAAGTTGTGTACGCAACTCACGTTAATAGTCTTTACGACACTCGTAAAAGTTTTTAAGGCACTCGCCAAGGCTCGTGCCTTAAATTTTCTACTCATGTCGTAAAGACTAATTTAACGCAATCGTTGCGTAAACTACTATAACATCACTAGATTTAACCAGTGGGTTTTTACAATTACCTTTACATAAAGATTCACGCAAGTATGTAACTTTCACCTTTAATGGAAAAAATTGGCAGTTCTGTAGATTACCGTTTGGTCATTGTGTAAGTACAGCACATTTTATCAAAGCAGTAGATAAAATGTTAGGCCCTGAATTTGATCAGTTTGTAACCACATAAGTGGATGACATATTAATTACTTCTAATAGTTTTGAGGAACATGTTGACAAAGTGTTAACTAAATTAAGAGAATGGGGGGTAACAGTTAAACTAAGTAAGTCTCAGTTTAAAGACAGGAAGTAAATATTTTGGGATACATAATCAGTAGGGATGGAATTTCTCCAGATCCAGATGACATTCAAAAGATACTTGATTTCAAACAACCAGGGCCGGTTTAACCCATACGCGAACTACGCGGCCGCATATGGCGCCACGAAAAAGTGGCGCCGTGTCGCCAACGGAACAATTTTTTTTACGTGAACAACGTAATTTTGTTTATTTTCGCTCAGAGTTCAAGTATACCACAATAAAGGCATTAATTCTGTTTGTACCAACAGCACTTGAAAAATGTGTATATTTGTAAAGCACTATACAACTCAAGGACTCAATGCCATTTGCAGTTTCGATTTTGTAGTGAGCTGACGCTCGGCAGCGTACAGCGCGGCGCCTGTGGGTTTCATTTCACGACTCGCTCATGCTCGAGATGACATGCAAGCGCGCAGCGCCAATTGTCACAACAAGAAACTTCCCCCTCCCTTCTGACTCTTATCCTAGAGCAGTATTGCACTCTTTTAGTGTATTAGCGTATTAGCGTGTATCGGTATCGTAATGGCGTTGTTTTGATGATTCATGATTGTTGATAAGTGAATGATTACGAGTGTTTTAAGTTTAATTTATATAACAATGGCGGAAAAAAAAACGTCTGGCACTTATTATAAAAAGGGTAAGGCAAATTTGTAAGAAAGGGTAAGGCAAATTTGTAAGAGGAAGATAGACTAGTAAAATTGTTGGTTAACCTAGAAGTAATTGTAATATAATTTCTGTCAATGGATTCTTATGTAAAAATGGCTGAAAAAACGATGGTGAAAAGTCTACCACTCTACGGAGGTGCGTTGGCCTTGTATGAAAGGTTTTTCAAAATGGCTACCGGAAATATTTATGTTTTTAGCCAATAAGTCATAAAT